GTTAGAGAATTAACTGACAATAAATTTTTTTGTAGTTGGGGCACATGTAGAACAGAGTCAAGAGAAAGGTTATTAGTGATTCTGACTTCACCCTGACCCGAGATTGGGGTTTGAGATCCATCAGTAACAATAATCTTGCCCTTCCCCAGGGTTAACTTATATGAGGTAAAATGTGAAGGCATACCAGTCATATGGGCACTAACCCCAGAGTCTACAATCCATGGGCTAAAGGAGGTGGAACAAGCAAGTGCAGTACCTGCCTTGGCATATGAACTAGATAGATTACTAAATCCAAAACAGATGAGGATGTACCACCCTTCTCTAGCTGCAAGAATATATTCCTGAGTTTGTCCATCACACTAGAGGAGTCAAGCACATCCGAGGGTTGAGCATCATTACCAACTGTAGCCAAGTAAGCATTGCCCTTCTTCCCAATTTTGTATTTCTCCGGTTTTATATGAGAATTGAGCTTCCAGCACCTTTCTTTAGTGTGTCTTGGCTTCTTATAGTACTCACAAATAACATCCTCGACCTTCTCTACAATGGGATGTTTGCTAGTATTTTGCTTGGGTTGAGATGACATAAAGGTAGAACGATCACTCATAAAGGATTGCATCATGGTGGTTCTTCAGCTTTCTTCCCCTTGTACAAGAGAGTAAGCAGTAGCAAGAGAGACAAAACCTGCATTAAGAATGTGTTGCCTGGTGAAATCAAACTCTTGGTTTAAGCTAGCCAAAAGATCAAAGACTCTATTCTCCTCTATGTACTTCCGATACTGCTCACCATCTTCAGGATCCTTCCAAACTAGAGCTTTCAAGTGATCCATTTCTTCCCAGATAGACTATAGAGAAGAGAAATACATAGCAACAAATCTCTCCCCTTGACACATACTGCTAGCTTCCCTCCAAAGATGATACACTAGTAGTATTGTTAACTTGGGAATAAGTAGCAACTACCCTATCCTAGATATCCTTGGCAGATGGAAGAAACATGTAATTTCGGGCAATATGAGGTTGCATTGAGCAAATCAGCTATGATAACAAGGGAGTTGTCCTGTTCCCACCTTGCAAATTTCAGGTCTTCAGGACTCGGCCTCACTTCCCTTCCTGTGATGAATCCCAGTTTACCCCCCCCCAGTAATGGTAAGTTTAGCAGACTAAGACCACTCTAAAAAATTAGCTCCGTCCAGTTTAACAGTAGTTGTCATACCATTGGAAATATCTGTAGTTCCTAAGAGCACGTCGGGAACCATCTGAAAATCCTTAAATGATTCCATATTCTAACAAGGCACCTTTTCACCAACCAAAAGGGACCCCCAACACTTTAACCGAGGTTCCAGACCCAAAAACTAGGTTACCACACGGTTAAGAACCAAAGGAAGACCCAAAAAACTAGGTTGGTGACAAAATAGAGGGAGAAAAAAATTCTCCCAAAAATCGCACAGTGCTCAGAAAATTACGGGGCCACTTCCCGTCAATCCCAAATTGAAAAAACGACCTGAATGGTCTAGGTTTTACAGCAGAAAAAAAAAATCATTAAACCTGTTGTACATGGCTTGACATCAGATCTGGAATTTCTGCGATTTTTTCCTTGAAAAATCCACCAAAAATCATAGAGGCTTCATATAATGACAAGAGTCATACCAATTTTTTTCTAAAATAAGGGCGAATCAAACTATGCTGGTTTCATAGACTATCACCGGCACCTGTACGGGCTGCTAAGTCATCAGGCGACGATCTGACATCAACAATTCGCCTCTGGGTAGGAGATCAGCAGAGAACCAACTCCCAGATGCTTCTACCCGCTCTGATACCAAGTTGCAGAAACTAGGGTTTCAAGAGAGAGAAAGAAAGAAGAGAAGAGAAGAAGAAGAGAAAGAAGAGAGCAAGTGTCTAGAGGTGTGCTATTCACTGTTCACACCCTCAAAAGTTTACTTAATAATTTGAAAAAATAATAATTACAAGAAGGCCCCTATCTGGGTGCCCAAATACTGAGAGAGTATAAGAAAGGAGAAAAAGACTAAAAACACCCCTGTCTAACCATTCTCAACAGTATTTATAAAGAAAAATTAGAAATAAAAAGAAAAAAATGGTATATAGAAATTTGTAAACATGGAGACACATTGAACAAGAGATGTATAGTTGTAGACACATAAACCAGTATAAGTTAAATCACATAAAACTTGAACAAGAGACTTTTCAGTTTTGCTCTTTCATCACTTCTAGACGTGCATAGCACATGCACTTACGGTAGTAGTAGTAGTAGTAATATAAATTGAACAGTAGTTTTGGCTCTTCAATTCTCAACCCCAAGCCTTGTGGAGGCAGCTGATTGTGGAGAAGTTTGGAAATAGAAATAGTGGTTGAGATCCTGGGCCTACTCCCTCTTCTGCTGGTCGTTCAGTCTGGAAAGGGATTGAGAACATTTATCCTAGTTTCTTTCAAGGGGTGAGGCTGAAAGTAGGGAACGGTAGAAGGATAAGATTCTGGCAAGACCCTTGGTGCAATAGCTCTGCCTTAATGGAGGTTTTTCCTTCACTATTTCTTATAGCTGAGGATAGGGATGTGATGGTGGCAGATCAGTTTGAGTGGTGTGGGAGTACAGGGTCTTGGTGTCCTAAATTTAGGAGACATCTCAATGACTGGGAGTTTTCAGACCTGCTAGCATTGTTCCAGCTACTTCAGACTCAACAACCATATCCAAATCATCAAGGTTCAGGGTTATAGAAATGGTCCAGTGATGGCATTTTCTCTGTTAAGTCCTTTTATTAGAAGCCGGCTTTTGGTGGTTCTCAGGCTTTTCTGTGGAAAGAGATATGGCTCCCTCACATTCCATCAAAGGCCTCCTTGGTTTGGATGGCAGCTCATGGTAAATGTCTCTCTAAAGATCAGCTGATCAAGAGAGGTTTGGTGCTGGACTCTCTGAACTGTGTCATGTGTAACAAGGAATCTGAGTCTGTTGATCATCTCTTCATTCATAGTAATGCCACTCATAAACCATTCAGTCACTTCTGTTCCCTACTAAATGCCAGCTGGTGTCTGCCAAGTTCTCTGCCTAATTTATTACTCTCCTGGAAACTGCCAGGCTCAAGTGGTAGGGGCAAGGTGCTTTGGAATACTCTTCCTCACAATGGTGTGTTGGGTTCTGTGGAAAGACAGAAATGGAAGGATTTTTTAAGGAAGTTTTGCTCTTTAGATAATGTGGTGGTTTGGGCTATGGCTACTCTGCATTCTTTGTTGTCTGCCAAGGATTCCTTCAAATATTTTTTGATCTGGTGCCACCCAAAATTGCTATTTTTTGTTGGGATGTGTTTCATGGAAAGATTAATACTTTGGACAACCTGCAAAAGAGAAGACCTTTCTTGTTCTGTCCCCTAACTGGTGCCTTTTGTACAAAGTTAGTGGGGAGGCTTGCTCTCACTTGTTTCTATCTTGTCCTTTGGTTGCAGTTATTTGGAGTTGGATTTTCTCTTTGTTTGCATGCAGGTAGAACCTACCAGCATGAAGTAAGCTTATTTTGTGATCCAGCTCTATTTATTTGGCCAACAAAATGGGGGAGATTTATGTGGAAGAGTGTTAGAGCAGCCACCTTTTGGACAATCTGGGAAGAAAGGAACAGCAGAATCTTCAATGAAAAAGAAAGAAGTCTCTCAGAACTAGAGGAGTGCATTCTAACAAGGGCAATACATTGGTTGAGAACCCTTAACTTATTTTACTCTTATACCTATGATGATCTATGGAGAAACTGATTGGCAGTGGCTAATAGCTCCACAAGAAGCACTAGAAGTATTTCAGATCAGTCTCCACTTGTGAATGGGTTCATAAAATTGAACTTTGATGGAGGCAGTCATGGAAATCCAGGGCTCTCAGGTGTGGGTGGGGCCTTGAGAAATGAGGCAGGCAACTTATTATCTCTGTTCTGAGGTCCACTGGGATCAGGAGACTCTACTAGAGCTGAACTACTAGCTGCTGTACAAGGAATTCAGATTGCAAGTCAATTGGGTGTCAACAGACTATGTATTGAAGGAGACTCTAAGGTGGTGGTAGGGTGGTTACAGGATCCAGATTCTGCTATTTGGAAATACATGGATTTACTAAGGAAAGTTAAGTGGCTCACAAGAAATATGACAATCAGAATACAGTAGGTGAGCAGGTCAGCCAATGCCATGGCTGATGCCTTGACTAAACAGGGGGCTGTAAGGAAGTTTCTTTTTGTGGCTGAGTTGTAATACCTTTTTTATTATTATTTCAACTTTCAGTTTTTGGGCTCAAGGGTGTGGCTGCATCTCATGCCCCCCAAGGGGAGCTTGTAACTGCTTTAATCCTTTGTCAATAAAATCCATTCATTTATCAAAAAAAAAAAAAGATTCCTTCAAATATATCCCACATCATCAGTATTTTGATTAAGGCTTCTCCGTATAGTTACTGGCTGTACATGGAGCTTACTGGACAGATATATGTTATTTTTGTTCGTTATAGTATAATTTCAATACAATACCTTACTTCTTTCTTCAAAAAATTAGTAATACAAATTGAACAAATATTTAGACACCAGGCATGCATTATCATGTTGCCATTTGATATTATATGGTCAAATTAACCAAAATAACACTCCCTAAATGTGTTAAGCTTTAAAAGGAAATAAACAATTTTCTTGTGTTAAAAAACATCTAGATCACTAACATTTGAGGATCACCCCTTGTATAGCCCAATTCCCTTAAGCACAATGCGTATGCCTATAGAGGCCTTGGCCTCAAACCAGGACCTTGAGGATTAAGCTTTTCTTTTTTGATCGTTATTATCTTGAGGCAGCCTTTGTTTGTGTCCCTTCAAGGTGTACAACTCATGCCTCAAGTCTTAAGCCTTTTAAAACCATGATGAAAAGACAAGAATAAGCAACCATAGATGATCATCTTTAATTTACTGCCATTGTGAGCCATGTTTAGACGGGTATACAGTCCAAGTGAACATCACGTAAAACAAAAGAATACATAGAAATACCAGGAAGGAATTGCAACTGCTGCAAGGATCGGGGATATCTTCCATAACTGGTGAAGTTGACTACTAAGTAACACTGTCAAATACTCAAGAATGCTGTTTTCCTGATCAAGGAAACAAGAGGAACCAAGTAGAACCAGAAATAGATAAGTAGAGACATGGAAAAATATAAAATACTGGAAGCACTATAAGAATAATCAAAACAACACCTACTTTGAGTGGCAATGATGTATAAATCAGCTGATATATCTTCATACTATGAATCCAAATATTAAACTGAAAAAATTAATTCTAATATCATTGACTATTATATAGCACAATTTTAAGGTGATATTTGGTGAAACCATTCCATATACCAAATCATATGATTCATGTTTCCTGAATAACCTATTTAAGATTTTTTTTTTTTTGGAGAAAGGTTTAACCAAATTTCATTAAACTAGAAGAGAATATGAGAGTATGTACGAAACAGGGGAGAACCCCAAAGAGATTACAAGGGAGGAATTCTGTCACTATACAGATTTTCTAAGTGAGCACCTAGCTTAGCTAAGCCATCTGCAATAGGATTTAACTCCCTCGGGATCCAAAACAGATTTGCATTTAGACAATTCAAGGAGTCCCTTGCTTCTGCCAAGTAATGGCTCAACCTCCAAGGACCAAATCCATATCCTTTCGCTATTTGGTGGTATTTTCTGAGTCCCCTACTATGGAGAGATTCTGAATACCCAAACTTTTTACTATTCTGATTCCAGTTGAAGCAGCCAGCACTTCAGCCTTGGTTGAATCTGTAAATCCAATTGGGCCACTGAAAACCCAGAAAATATCACCTCTTTCATCTCTTAAGATAACCCCAATTCCAGCCAAACCTGGATTACCTGCAGCACTCCTGTTGAAGTGTTAGATCATCCCACCATCCCTGAATACTACCGGTTGTCTTAAGCGAGTCTGAGTGAAGTGTGGAAAAAAAGAATGTTTGAATATTTCTGCTAAGATCATCATTTGAGAGATGTTGGAACAGCTCTGAATTAGCCACCCAGAAGTTACAGAGATAGAAGATATCTGAAATTAACTCATCGAGAGATCTGAGTTTATTTTCAAATAAGCGCTTGTTTCTTTCCTCCCAAACTCCCCACATTACTGCATGTAGCACCGTTTGCCAGTAGACTTTGCCTCTTCTGCTTGGACCATAACCTTGCCACTGATGAGTAAGGCCTTGAATGTGTTCTGGGAAAATCCAATGATAGCCTATCAGGTTTAAGAAGTACTGCCAGATCTTTTGAGTGAAATTACAGTGTATAAGAAGGTGATCGGCTGTTTCTCCATCTTGCAGACACAAGCAACAGGTGTGAGGAGAAATGTAATGTCTTCCCAAGGTCTTCTTCTGAAGGAGATCAGAAGTGTTTATTCTTTGAAGGCAGGCTTCCCGTATAAAAAAACAAACTCTAGAAGGGATGTTGCTGCACCAGATTTTCTTGGAAGGGAATGTTGAGCTGTCTTTCCCTGTGGTTAAAGCCTTGAATAGCGACCTGGAAGAGAACTCGCGATTTGGGTGAAGGGTCCACACTCGGGTATCAAGGGAGTGGGGGAAGATATAGACCTCTTTAATAGCTTGGATGAGGAACACAAGATCAGAAAATTCTTGGTCCCTTAAGGGTCTTCTCAGCTGTAAATTTAGATTGTTGATAGCAGGAAGGTCAGGAATACAAGAGGAAACACTCGAGTCTTTATCTAGGGAGAGGTTGAAAAGTCTAGGGAAGGAGGCTGCTAAGGTAGAATTCCCCCACCAAAGGTCTCTCCAGAATTTGATTTTTGAACCATTCCCCACTCTATATCTAACAAAAGAAAAGAAGGAAGGGTGTGAAGGGACTATACCTTTCCAAGGGTTTGAAGACTTTACCCAGTTCAAGAGGAGATTGCTATTCCGTCTGTTGTTGCTTAATCCATACTTGCTTGTGATGGCAACTGTCCAAAGAGCATTGGATTCAATGGGGAATCTCCACAGCCATTTACCCAGAAGAGAAGTGTTTTTTTTCTTTTAGATGTCCAACTCCAAGACCTAGACCCTCTTCCTCCTTTGGCTTGCAAACTTGATCCCAGCTTACCAAATGATTTCTTTTTTCCCCTCCTCTTCTTTAACAGTATCCCAGCACTTCTGAAGAAGAACAAGGGGAAGCCGTCTAGCCCAGGAGCCCTGTCTCCATCCATGCTAAAAACAGCCTCTTTAATTTCTGATACTTCGAAGCTTCTTTCCAGCCAAGTCTTCTTTTCTAAAGGCAGGGTTGAGCCTTCCCAACTCCTCAAGAAATGACTGCAGTTTCTCTCCTTAAAGTACAGACTTCTGAAGAAGGTAAGAAAAGCTTCTATGATCTCAGCATTCTCCACTTCCCTTTGGTCCACTTTCAATTTGGAGATGAAATTTTTGCTGTGCCTTCCTAAAGCATAAACATGGAAGAATCTAGAGTTATTGTCCCCTTAATTTAGTCATCTCACTCTCGATCTCTGCCTCCAATAAATTTCCTCTCTTCTGACTACCTTCTCCCACAGTTTCCTCAAGACGGCTTTACATTGCCTGAGTTATCTAGAGAGCCATTTTGTTCCCTTAGATCTAACTCTTCCAGCTCCAAAAGAATTCTCCTTTTCTCATCTTAAGTGGCTCTGAACTCTTCTTTTCCTCAAACTTTTAACTTCCTTTTTAGGAATTTTAGCTTCTGTGATAGTTTATAACCAACCCATCCCTCCACATTACATTCCTTCCACTAATTATATACATTTTTGGAGAAGTCCTTGTGTAAGGCCTACACTTTTTCCAGTCTGAAAGGGGATTTTCTTTTAGTGATCAATTCAGTATTCAGCACTAAGGGCTAGTGATCAGAAGTGCATCGAGGCCGAATTTACTGGATTAAATTGGGAAAATTCTCAATCCATTCTTGAGAGAGGAGAAATCTATCAAGACTGCAACTTATGTTATTTTCCTACATATTTGACTAAGTGGATTGCCCATTCTTGAGGGGAAGATCGCATAGAAAATTTTCTCATGCTTTGAGTTGAAGCTCTACCTTTTGAGTGCTCTTGGCTTAACCTTATGACGTTGAAATCTCCTGCTATACACCACAGAATGTCTTCCTCTTCATGCAAGGAATCCAACTCCTCCCAGAATCTTTCCCTCTCATAGGGAGAATTAGGACCATGCAATTAAGATCCAGTTGAACCCATCTTTAATGTTGGTGAAGAGGACCAAGATTGAGAATTCTCCTTTGTCAATCTCCAAGCCCATGAGTTTGTCTTCATTCTTTTTTTTTTTTTTTTGATCAATAACTCTGAAAATTTTCATTAATTAAGATGCTTTAGGATACAACAAGAAGTTGCAAAGAAATCAGCATAGAAGCTGACCCAGGACAGAATTACAAATGTGCCCAAAACATATCTGTTCTTTGAACCCCTTGCTTTGCTATCAGCCAAACTGTTGGCCGATCTCCTAACCCAACCCACTTGAATAGACATATTCCTTGACATCCATTTGAACCTTCTGAAATCATTCTTCAGCTGCCAAGTCACTCCTTCCCCTTTCTGCAACCATTTTATCACAGTTTTTGAGCCTCCCTCAATGATCAGTCTATTAATCCCCAACTCTTTGGCCTTCTCAACCCCATATACTGCAGCTAGAAACTCTGCCCTAGCCACATCACCCTCCTCCACAGGACCGGAGGACAAAGCAATAATGGAACCATTTTCATTTCTAATGCCCCCCCCCAATACCTTAAGGGCCTGGGTTACCCACACAACTCCCATTGAAATTCAGCTTCTTCCAACCCTCTGTTGGAGGGGACCAGATCTCACAAACCTGTCGCCTCATAGATGATGAAGCAGCAATAAGTCCCCAAACCCTGAAAAAGTCTTCAACTTTAAAATCTAAGAATAGCTTTAAGCTTTTTACCCAATGTGCCACCCTCAATGTTATTGTTTCAACTAAAGCTTCCTTGCATTTTTCTTTACTTTCAAATATTCTATCATTTCTTTCCTCCCAAATGGTCCAAAGTATTACTGCTCTAGTGCACCTCCACAGAATCCTTCCCCTACTTGTCTTACCACTGAAACCATTAGGGTTTAATAAATTTTCCATCCTGTCAGGAGAGGACCACCTGCACCCAAAAAGGGAAGTAAACCAATTCCAAATAAAACTGACAAAAAGGCATGATAAAAGGTGGAAAACAATCTCACCATTCGACTTACATAGGACACACCAATTAGGGGACAAGCACCAATTTGGTCTTTTCCTTTGAAGTACATCAAAGGTATTAATACAACCATGAAAGACTTCCCAACAAAAAGCACTGATTTTAGGGGGAATAGGAGGGCACCAAATTTCTTTGACTATAAACTAAAGAAAAGACTGTGTGGCAACCATCGAATGTAGAAAGGATTTACAAGAAAAAGATCCATCAGAATTAGGACCCCAAATTCTAGAATCTGGCCCACCTTCCCCTAAGAAAACTGAATTCAGCAATCCTAACAACTCAAAGACTGCTAACAGTTCAGACTCTCTAAGATTCCTATTAAAACCAAGGTTTCAATTCAATCCTGGAAGGTGAGAATGATGGTTTAGGAAATCAGAAATAGGCTTACCCTTGAACCTAGACAGATCACAAAGAGAAGGAAATTTCTCCCCTAAAGGAGTATCCCTAATCCACAAATCCTCCCAGAATCTGATTTTACTACCAGAATACAAATCATACCTAATAAAATTAAGGAACGTAGGGAGAACATCATGGATGGCCTTCCAGGGAGCAGCCAAGTTAGCCCTACGGAGACATCCAGCATCCCATCTGCTGCACAACATGCCATGAATGCTTGCAACCACTTTGTGCCATAATTTCTCATTTTCATTTGGAAACCTCCAGAGCCATTTGCTCAGCAAAGCCTGATTCTTCATTCTAACATTACCTATTCCCAAACCCCTTCCTCTTTCAGTTTCCTCACCTTCTCCCATCTAACCAAATGATCCTTCTTTTTTTCCCCTGGCTCCCATAGAAAATCCCTCGTGATTTTTTCAACTTTACTCACTATCCTTTGTGGCATCCTAAACACTGACATGTAGTACACTGGG